TTATGTGACAAAGAAGGTTGGGCTGCAGACTATTACCATCTTTAGAAGCTCAAAGAAGTTTGGCTTCCTTCCCTAGGGTCTCTGAACAGCATTCCCTTGAACCGGTTAACTGTTGACCACAGAAACTTAGCTCTATAGGTCTGGCTTATTTACGGCCTGACAGAAATTTAGTGGAAGAGGCAAAATGCCTTTATTTCTTTCAGAGAAAAAGAAAAAAAAAAAAAGCTAAATTTAGGGGTAGAACCCAAAGTTATGGCCTAGCGGTACCTTTACATAGAAGATTTTTTTAGGTAGTTTTAATGTATTCATTAATCCTTTATTGACTAGATTAATATTCCCCAGAATGCAGACATGGCAATCGTGTCAGCTGTGAGAACAAGGTCAGGAAATTAATTCGCAGGCATTGACAGAAATGCGTGCTTGCTCTCTTCACTCTGCAGAATTGCTGAAGGAGCTCTTCATGCACATGCATGTAGTGTGTTTATCATGTAAAGCTTGTTCCAGAAGTACCACTTTACACTGATACGGATGAATATGTCATAAACAAAGGAATCGCATGCAGGGTGGTAGGAAAGAGAAATACTGTACCAATTGGCAAGGGGCATCCAGCCCATCCAGGCCAGGCTGACCTGGCTCCCCTTTTTCCCCCTTAACGCCACGGAATCCCTGTTTGTAAAGATTAACTCATAACGTTACTAACACAAGAAATCACTTAAGCACAAATTCTGCTAAAGAAATAACTACAATAACGAAAGGCTGGGAGAGGAGCAATGCTGAAGGACAAAGTGACATCCACTGAAGTTGGGAAAAATAAGAGCTCGACATATCCCTGTAATTAGGGATTGTCTGGGAATAGTGACTTTGTCTTTTGAGTGGTACGGAATAGCACTAGTTTCTCTTCGGGTCCCACATTCACTTTCCAATTGCACGTCAATATTTGAGTGTTAAGAAACCAAGCACAGCTGGTGGTCAGAGACAAGGCGTGGAATATACCAGGATAGCCCGAGATAGACGTTTCTGGTATCTTAAAGTCCATGTTAAGCAATCCCAATCAGCACCCCTGCTGTTGCATGTCCCTCCAGTTTGCTCTTCTCCCAGTTTGTTCCTTTACACATGACATCTGGAGACAGTTGCATGAGTCAGACATACCAACGGGCAAGGTGCATCTAATCCAGGAGCACCCTGTTCTCCTTTCTCCCCTTTAGGCCCCTTTTTGCCTTTCTTTCCCTTTTCCCCCTGTGGATATAAGGGTTTAAATAAAAGACAAGTTTTATTTGGGGGGGTGGGAAATAATGGCGACTCAAAAGATGGTGTAGCCAATAAAAGTCTGGAAGGGCATTTACCACTGTTTTCTGGTTTAGGTAAGGAATGATATTATAAAAGATAACTCATTCTTTCAGAGTGACAATGGATTCTGGGCAGTGATATGTAGGATTTTACTTAAGATAGTCAACAAGATGAAAGCAGAAGATTTAAAAGGCCAACACATCAAGAGCTGACTTAGACCCCAGCGCCATAGTCCTAGTGAACTATGAGGTGTTATTGCCACAGATCTGGTGGCAGATCCAACTGTATGGAAGCCAGCCAGTGGCAGGTCAAATTCAGAGGAATAATGAATACCCAATTTTCAATACCTTGTCAGCTTGCTTTCTTCTAATCCTATAACAGATGAAAGCTACACTGAGCCAGAGGAAAAGGAATGAATATAAACAACCTCTATCTTTTTGATCCAATTTTATGACATTATTTTTTGTAGCTTTCATTAAAAAATATTCAGTATATTAAAATAACCTTCTGTTTCTTTTAACTTTTTTTTTTAAAGGAAACTACAAGCAAATACTTTATTAAGGTCAGGTAAACAAATTTTAAACGTGCTAATACTTCTCAGCCATGCCAATTGAAGATATGGACTTATTTATAAATCCGGCGATGTTCTTTAATTCATTCTTACAGATCTCATGCCAGGTGTTCACAATGGTAAATGGGTTTCCAGCTTACAATGTAACAAAAGCCAAAAAAAAAAAAAAATTCTGTTCAAGAGAAGGAAAAGCAGTTTGGACTCAGTTGAGCTAATACTAAAAAATGAGGTAGGAAGGATAATTACATAGTAGGAATGTAGCCCTGGAAATTAGTATTTAGGCATCAAGGTAGAGGTTGTGGAAATCTGCATGGATCATGGGAATGGAGGAATTAAGGAAAGGAGGCAAAAGGAGGAGAAGGAAGGAATGCACCTCAGCTGTTTCTTATTAACATAAATATCTCTGCATATTTATAGACAAGAAGTTGGTGCTGTACAGAATACAAAATACTGTGCAATGCATATTTAGATTAGTGTATTCATTCTGCACTCAGGAAGGCAGTTACAATGAAAGTGGATAATTTCAGAGGCAAAAACAACATGAATATTCAGAGACATATAAGATATATATGAGATATGCATTCAAATTAATGCATTCATTCTGACTGTGTGAGTGAAAGCTCTTCATTTATCTCCTGTGTGCCAAAAAGATTGCATCAGAAGGCTCAGAATCAAAAACACTTGGGTTTCTTCAATACTGGGGAAAAAGAGAAATTCCGTGTGGTTTGGTTAATCACGATCAAAGACAAAGACCTAAGAATCCAGGGTGAAATGCGAGCAGGTGTGACAGGAAGTAGGCTGGGAGGAGCATTTAGGACTAAATTGTTCACTCATGCAAGTTCAGTCAATATCTTTACTCAGCAAATAACGTCAATGCCAGGACATAAAATTGATTTAAACTTGTTTGGGTAAGCTTTTCTTTCCCAGCGGGCGGTGGACTCTTCATCACATAGGTCAGACAGGTGTGTTGAGTATTAATAATTTAGAATTCAATTCATTATTTGGTAAGTCAACAGATCAATACTTGACAGAAAAGTGTCGTCATACGAATGTTGACTCTAACAGGCTGTAGGAATCCTTTTCAGTAATATTTTAGCAAACCTCAAGCTTTATGGAAAACAGACACTATTGTACAAAGAATAATGAATCAGCATTACTACTAATCAACATAATTTTGTAGCAGTTAGTGATTCCCTATGTGACACAAAACCATCTGTCCTTATGGGCATGAGCACATGAGGGCTCTTGCTAATTTTTATCTCCCATGTCAAAAAATGATACACATAAAGTGTTCACATTTGGATCTAATTTTCCTGAATGTAAAACTTCTAATCATGGAATCTGAAATATGGAAATATTTTTGTATGAGTGATTAATATTATTCTGAGGATTAAATTTGTAGCTTTGTTTTCATAAGTTATAATACTGATAATTTCTTCTTTATTTAAAAGATCGTTAAAATGAGTATCACAATGGTGACATACTTTTGAGTGACTAAGATTTTAGACTCATACAACCCATTAGGTAAATATAAAATAAATGCCTATAATCTTTGAAGTACATACACCTTGGGCTAAAGGTTCACATGTACAATTTATCTCAAACCAAAACATGTATACTTTATCATTAGCATTTATAATTTAAAAGAAAAGAACTTTTTTAAGGTTTCAGTTTCCTTGTCTGTGAAATGGGGACTGTAACAGCACCAACATCAGGGGTGTGTTATGAGGATTAAAAGACTTAGCATGTATAAAGCTTTTGGGAAAGCATATAATAAATGTTCAATAAATGCAGTGATATTGATAATGATGATGATGGTGCTTTTACATAACCACTGACATGAGCTCTCTTACCAGTGGGAAGCTAAGTAATGTCTAAGGCCTAAAGAACACACAGCAGGCTTAATACCCTTCTTTCTTTGACAATTCTAATTTGGCCTTGCTTTTCTTTCTTTCTTGTCTCTCTCTCCCTTTCCTCCGTCCCTCTTTTTCTTTCTTTTCTTTCTTTCTTCCTTTCTAGAGACAGAGAGAGCTTGAGTGGGGGAGAGAGGCAGAGGGAAAGAGAAAGAGAATCTTAAGTAGGCTCCACGCTCAGTGCGCAACTGACACAGGGCTTGATCCTACAACCCTGGGATCTTGACCTGAGCTGAAATCAAGAGTCGGATGCTCAACCAACTGAGCCACCCAGGCAGCCCTGGCCTTGTTTTTCAACAGCAATAAATTTCACCGTTAAAGAGAATTTATAGGGTTTGAAAACAGTGTTTTGTTAAGTACAGCAGGACATAAATTAATCTGAGAAATAGAATTGGTTTAAATTTGAACTGGGAAAGTACAATTTCAGCCACTGTAAGATTTTCACTATTCTATGAAGGTACTGAGTTTCTGTTTACTTCTCTTGCTGTACTCAATGTAAAAAATTACTGTTCAAGGCCCAAAATTATTGTTCAAAGGGGAGAGGAAAGGAAAAAATGTTTTTAAAAATCCATAATCCAAATTTTGCTTTCAGACATAAAACCAATTTGCCTGATATTGGCTGTTATATCCCCTGGAGCCAATGGTCCTGATACAGAACCTAAACACTAACGTCATAAAATACACGAATATCTTCATTTAAAAATATCTCCAGCATCTGGAGGTGGTGAGTCCTACCCCCTGACTCCCTGGGGTTTATCAGTCACACTGCTTGCTCTCCGTTTTCCAATCAAACAATCACGACACAGGACACATCTTTTGTCTCTCTACTGGGAATGTTGTCCATATAAATTAGATGCTGGTTTTACATGGTAGGTGAGCTCTGCCAGAAGACCCTTGCAGATTTGGGCTATTTAATTTTACTTTAATGTAATAAATGCCTTTTTATTTTATTTTCAAGAATCCCTAGACATTACATCTTTCAACAAATTGGTGCCAGGTGGTCAAAAGACTGTAGCCTGGCAATCTGGAGATTAAATTTTTTTGTTCTACGCTAGATTGTGCCCTTATTTCTAGGGCCATAGCCTTCATTGCTCTGTGAAGACCTGGTTTTTTAGATCAGGCATCAGTGAGTTTTTGGAGCACAGGATGGAGAAAAATTAGATGTATGAAAGAATCACACAGGTTGAACAGAAAAGCACATGGCATGAGAAAAATCAAACAGGCACGTGCTAGAATGGAGAGGTCACCTTTTCTCCCTTTTCTCCTACATCACCCTTCTCGCCTCGTGGACCAGGGAAGCCCTATAGGATAAAAAGCAAACCAAAAAGAACTATTAATGTAACTGTGGCAAAATCATATTTAAAAAAAGGTAAGACTTCATGTTCTTGAACGCAAATATGAAGAGAAATGGCACGACCAATAATCTCAAAATTTAGATAGTTAAAGTAGCACTTTGAAGCAATAGCTGTCTAACATTTCAGTTATCTATATAAAACACATTTCTTGCTTTTTCTCCTAAAATATGTATAGTGGAGAGAATATCAGGATCCTAGTGTGAATCCTGGCAAGTTCACTGATTTGTGTGGCCTTGGGCAAAGAACTTACCTCAGCATTTTATGCTTGTACATAACAGGTGCTCAAGAAAAAGTAACTACTATTACCTAATGTAATAGTACTACATAATACAGGCTACTATTATATTCACATAATAAAGTGATCATTTCAAGAGGCATATACTTTTGACATTCTCTATTTTTATAGAATTATGTTATCATAAGGTGTATAGACACTTTATGCTAAAAGGAAAAAATATTGCATAGCAGCTTTGAGAATAAACACAGCACACCATTCCTTAAAGGTAGCATGTGAAAGATATCCCAATTTTCCGCAGAGTTTAAAATCAGTCATTCAACTGCCGATGTGCAGGGGGTGTCCCTAATTTGGGAAAGTATTTTGAAGTGCCATTATTAACTGTCAGTTATTAACTTTACACTAATTCTGTGTTTGGCTTTTCTGTTTATCTCATGCAGACACTAGTGGCGTATTTTATATTGCTGTCTACACGCACAGCAGTATATGCTGTACGAATAACTACGTGCCTAGAAAAAGGTATTCTTGCTGTTATTGATGATGGAGACCATCAGCATCTATTGTCACAGGAAGATGTTCATTGTACAAATTACTTACATCAAGACCAGGCTCTCCATCTTTCCCCTGCCAAAGAACCATAGTAGCTACATTAGTGTTCCTAAGTTTCATGAATAGGTTAGTGTTTGTTTAAGGCTGCCTGGACATGCAACACTAGTATTAGAACAACTACTTCAGAGATGTGAAAAAGAGTCTTTATTGATTAGTAATACCAATTTCTCTCATCAAATCAAGTGAAGGGACTGTTAATGCTGTAGTTAAGGGTCATGGTAATATTTTTTTTATTATGTATTAGGTTATATAGCCAGATATTTCGCTGAAGTTTAATGCTTGGTATCCACTTTATCAATCCAGGAGTAAGCTGAAAACACAGATGCTGTTTAGTTGACTGAAAAACATACCAGCATTAATAGACTATGCAAATCAATACTGCTTCGGTTTGATAACTTAGTACTTGGTTTATAATTGAGTAAAGAATGTGAAACCTGCTTATTGTTAAGTATCGTTTTAATTTGGCTAGATGGGCGCCTTGTCTATAAATATTGAGGGTGTGAGGGTCATAACTTAAAAACTGTTGTTAAGTAAACTTTGTCAATCCATGATCCCCAAATATAAAAGGAGTCATAAGACGGTTGTGCAAGATTACCAGGGCAAAGACCCTATTGTGTCACACAACAGGGCCATCCAAAGTGCCTGAAAAGTTGCTTTAATTCCGTCAATTAGATTTTGTAATCTCTTTCAAAATCAGCATCTCTTTCAGCACTTAAGTAATCCTGACTTAAATTTATATCTTGGTTCATAAAAACTGTAAGGTTATAAGGCATGTGGAAGGTATATAGGGGTTAAAAACTTCAATGGAGTATATGTTTTTCTATTGCAGTCCTACCCTACCCTATCAAATCACTTATAATCAACCCCAAGATAGTGTTCTGAAGTAAACCTGAAGCCTCAGTTTGAAGATCATATGATTGGGAATTTTCAGAAGACAGAACACTATTAACATTCTGTGTTCTAAAGATCTCTTATCACTGCAGGACTTTAGAAAGGTCAGAAACATCGAAGTCATGGTAAATATCAATTTGAGAAATAACTTTTATTAGCAAGAGTAGTTTTAGTCAATAACCTATGGGAACAGATAAAGTCTGAAGAAACTAAGTGACACTTTCACACCCACTTTTGGCAGTGACCTTCCAAGGAAGTGTCAATTATGGGCGCCTAGGCGCCTAGTGAGATGGCATAGGGAGCATGTTGAAATCTGACTTTCAGGTTAGAACCTTTGATCTAGTGGATAATCTCTGATCCTCTCCATCTCCAGAAGTGTGTGTGTGTGTGTGTGTGTGTGTGTGTGTGTGTTTGGGTGTGTGTGTGTGTCGGAGAGTGTGTGTGTCTGAGAATAGATGTGAATATGACCCATGAAGGACATGGTTACACTGGTGTCATCGAGAATTAGTGGGTGATTCTCTGCTCCTCTAATGTGGTTAGTCTGCCCCACGGGGGAAGGGTTAACCGTGCTGGTGTCAGGTCATCTATGCATGCTGGAGGTGGAAACAAGAGACAGAACTCACAGGCAGACCATAGGGTCCTCTGGGTCCAGGCTCTCCCATAGCTCCTTTTTCACCCTAAAATGAAAGCCGTAAAGTTCAAATCATACACAAATGCCATATTCACACACTTTCCCTAATGGCCTGTGTATAAAGCCTCCATTGGAGGTACCATTTTATCAACATTCCAATGACTTAGGCTCTTTAGGGGTTTCTGTCACTGACAGAGTAAAAGAAACCCACATTTGCATATTTTACCAAATTACCTCTGAAAGAAGGGCAGTAGGTAAGAGAACTGCTATCCAGTTGTGTGAAGGATTTGCATATCTAGAGTGCTATACTTGGGTTTCTTTGGCATTAGTGTGAAACATTTATCTTTTACTCACTATTTTAAGTTACTACATTTTTTAAATGTAATAATAAAATGTTGTTGTTTTTTTCCTATCAAATTCTCTTCTTCAGCAGGCCTCTTCCTTGACCACCCTGGCCCTTTGCAGAGCTGTATTTTATTTTATGGCCTCCAACACCAAGAGATAGGCACGATTATTCCCTGCTGTGCCCCTCACTAGAACATGCACACTGGGGTGCCAGGGCCCTACCGCATCCTCATGGCTTAGAATAGTGTCTGGCACATGAGTATATCATATTTGAATTAATCAAGTCACATCAGTATGATCAGGTGCATGTTTTGCTTCCTTTCTGAAAAAGAGAGTTTAAACACTTCTATGCCTTCTAATAAATAAATGTCTGAGAAGGTAGCTTTTTACTACCTTCATCACTCGCTCTCCATGAGCCTATTTAAATAGAACAGCAGCCCCAGCTATAACAATATACGTGATAATGATAATCTTGAATACTTATAAAGAATACGGTGAGATTGGGGGTGGATCCATAAATACAAAATAATTATAATAAAGAGATAAAGAAATGTTCTGCATTGCAAGTAGTGTTTCCTTTTGCTGCCAGCTGTAAAATTAAGGTGCTTGTCAGTAGTTAGCATGCGAACTTCAGGAGTAATGGTGATATTTATATGAGTGGCCAAGAAGAAAATGTTACCTTCTTTTATCACACCTTTGAAGAAGTTTAAAGGTTAGCAAATCTTTTCATGGCTAAAATGCAAAGTTCAGCTGGTAGCTGTGTGTGCAGATTCAAGCATTATGCCATGTGCCTCTGTACTCCAGATTCCCATGCGAGCAAATTTCAAGTCACTATCAACATTCTTCTTTAACCTAAACTGAGGTGTTGGTGGGGCTAATTGGCCCTGTCACCTAGATGCACATATATATGTGTAGGGAGATTACCGAAAGTGAATATGATAAAAGCTTGTTGAACCTTTACTCATTATTACTTTATGTTTACTACTGAAAGAACAATTTCCAGTCAGTCAGTAAGGCTGCCAGGCTTTGAAATCAAACAGATTTAAATTTGACTTCCAGTCTGGCATTTACTGGCTGTGTGGTGTCAGGTAACCTTCTTAACCTTTCTATGCCCTAGCTTCATTGCCTGTTAAATAAGAAGAATAATACATTTTCTGCAAGACTTGCTCTGAAGATTAAATGTGATTATAAAGTATCAAATTATATGTCATCAAATAATATGTCTCATACATAAGTGGTAGCTATCATTGTTAATATACAATCAGAAGTCTTATTTTTAATGAAAAGGGTTTGGCTACCAATTCAAAATAAATTTCTTTCTGTTTGATCTGGCAGTGTTATTTTATGATTTTTTTAAATGGTGGTGATGGTGGTGGTGTATATGTGTGCGCGTGTGGGGGTAGGATGGGGCGTGTAGCGGGAGGTGGGGGTTTAAAAAGAGGGTTCGCATAACCTGGAGTAGGTCTACCTTGAAAAATCTCCACAGATTCTTTTGATAGACCTATTCCCTTTTCCCTTCCTCTGAGTACCTTCAGCTTTATTGGCTTTCTTTTGTTTTTAAAATTAATATACCATGACTTGTTTGAATTAAGCTGTCACAAAGACATTTGTTTGTGGGACTCCTCTTACAGAATTGCTCACCCCAAACAATTACTTTAAGGTAATGACAATTCCATTTCACTCGCCAGTGACTGCTTCAGAAGAGGACATGTGTCCGGACTCTGGCCAATGAGGTGTTGAGGGAAGTCAGAGGGGAAGTGATGGGGAAGGTTTGGTCACTGCTAAGGAGAAGACGATGCCTCATTGGAGAGGAGGTTTGTAGGGATGGTGACCTGTTTGCCTGTGATCAGAAGACAAAGCCAGCATGTGGAAAGGGAACAGAAGCAGAGCAGAGAGTCCCTCCTTTGAATATTTTGTTAGATAAAACAATATTTAGTTTCTTTATTGCATAAGCCATTTTGAGTTGGGATTCTGTCACTTAGAGCCAAAGGCATCCTAATGGTCTCAGCTAGAAAAACTTTTAGGAGTGAAATATTAATTTGAATATGAGATATGAAATGAAATAGGGACTCGAACGTGTAACTTCTCCTGGATTAAATAATTCCCAAAACACTTTTAAACCTCTCAAATTTAACACCCTTCACAGAGTTCCTAAGCATTGACAAGGCCAGATGAAGAAATCAGCTCAAGGGGCGCCTGGATGGCGCAGTCGGTTAAGCGTCCGACTTCAGCCAGGTCACGATCTCGCGGTCCGTGAGTTCGAGCCCCGCGTCAGGCTCTGGGCTGATGGCTCGGAGCCTGGAGCCTGTTTCCGATTCTGTGTCTCCCTCTCTCTCTGCCCCTCCCCCGTTCATGCTCTGACTCTCTCTGTCCCAAAAATAAATAAACGTTGAAAAAAAAAAAAAATCAGCTCAAGGCAGGGACCATCAGGTGCTTGAAGGGCTCATGCTGTCACTCACGTTTTTGACAATTTCTGAATGACAACGTCCAATGTTAGTCTTCTTTTAGGCTGGTCTCATTTCATTCAGGCTCTTTAACTTGCATGCCCACACTGAGGAATTATCTGGAATGGATTCCTGATTCCTCCCTCTTTAAAAGTGGAAACTTCTTCAAGAGAGTCCAGGTGACACCTCGGTCAATTAACTTTGAGAATAACACTCCAGTTTAGCACTTTGGGTGAGGGGCACTTGGAGAGTACTGATACACGAGCCAGTGAAGATAGTTAACGTGCTGAGTAAATACAAGTGTAACACTTCACACTGCACACCATTTGACTTAAACTATGTCTTCAAAAATTCTTAGCGATTTCATTTGCTCTCCCAGTTAATCCTGCCCCAGCGCCGATACCTGATATGCTTGTGACACCGAGGAGCTATCGGAAGTAGCAGCTGATTTACCATACGGTAAACCCTCTTGAGCCCCAAGGGCATTCTGCCAAAAGACGACTTGCGCGATTTGCTGCTCCATTTTTAGGACACATGCTGGATTTCTTGATACAACGCTTCAATGCGTCAGCAGCATGAGCCTCTTAGCTTTTAAATATTTTTAATGAAGGTGATCTTCCTAAGTCGGTTTGAGTTTAGAAGTAAGACAATTGCAGATTCAGATAATTCATTCCTTTAGGACTCACCTCTTTCTAGAAGCATTCTTGGATGAAGCCAGACTTCCTCATCATTGTATGTACAGTTCTGTACTGTTTGTATTCACTTTGGCTTCATGATCTGGTTATTTCTTGCTGATACTTTTTTTCTCTGCACTTAGATTATAAACTCTGCTAGGTCAGGGAAATAGCCATTTCCTTTACAGTTTTAAGATTATATATGTATATATATACATATATATGTATGTATGTGTATATATGTATATATATACATATATATGTATGTATGTGTA